GCTAGAAAATAAAAAATAAAAGGTGTGTGTCTCCATCTCATGTAAAAACCAGTAGGTAAGCACCCCGGAATCAACACGGCTCTCCAGAACATCAGAGACCCAGGTGCCTTCCCTTTGTTGCTCTGATGACAGCAATTTCTATTTCAAAGATTGCCTCACAGTCTAACATGGCTGCTGGACAGAGGGGGACCGGGTGTAGGACTGCTAGATAAAATAGCACACGTCCTGCTGTATTTGAATTTCAGGTAAATAACGAATACTGTTTTAGTGTAACTATGTTCTGATTATTGCATGGCACCTACTTATACTAAAAAAAAGTCGATGTTATTTATCTGAAATTCAAATTTAACTGGGCATTCTGTATTTTTGTTTGCTAAATCTGGCCACCATAACTGGGAAAGAGAGAAAGGGTGGGGTGGAGGGAGAGAGAGAGAGAAGTTACAGAGGCTGGAAGATGTAAGACCGCAGGGCAGAGATAAAAAGTGGGGACAGAGAGGCAGACCGGGACAGATAGAGACAGAACGAGGGAGAAATGGACAAATACAGAGCTGTGGCCACAAGACATGTGAAGCAGGAACAGGGAAGAGGCAAAGCGGGGGAGCGGACACACAGGCCTCCATCTAACGCTGGCACAGATGGAAAGAGACTGACCCAACAAGGGCAGAGTGAAGGGGGCCCAGGCCAGGTGGGAGCCCAACCCCAGAAGTAAAGAGGTCACTGTCTACACACAGCCCAAAGTCTATCCCAGGCCAGGGAAGAGAGCAGCTACAGGAGGGAAAAGCCAAAATCCAATTGCTCCTGCAGTTCCAGCCTGCAGAACCGAGGAAGAACAGAAGAAAGGCCCTTTCTGGAAAATGCAACTGGTCAGCCAGACCTGAGTCACACAGACTCATCGACCTGCAAGAGGCCAAAAAATGTGCCCTTATTCCACGGGGTTGTGCACCCAGCTGAAAACTGGAGTTTCTATTTTTTCCTTTTTGAGACAGAGTCTCACTCTGTCACCCTGGGTAGAGTGCCTGGTGTCACAGCAAACTCAAACTCCTGGGTTCAAGGGATCCTCCTGCCTCAGCCTGCAGAGTAACTGGGACTATAGGAGGCTGCCGCAACACTCAGCTAGTTTTTCTATTTTTAGTAGAGATGGGGTCTCACTTTTGCTCAGGCTGGTCTCAGACCTGAGCCAAGCAATCCACCCACCTCGGCATCCCAGAGTGCTAGAATTACAGGTGTGAGCCACCGTGCCTGGCCTGGAGTTTCTATCTTTAAAGAAGAAGAGAATGGACACTGACACCGTCTTCATCTTTCTTGAGCATAGTGATGTGCTGCCTGGAGTTGTGGCATCTTTGGAGACCACTGTGGTGCCCCAAATAACTGCTCATTGAATATTAAACCCCATTAGAGCCACCTCATTCATCCATCCATCCATCCATCCATCCAATTCTTTAAATAGTTCTTGAGCACCTACTAGGAGTTCTGGGTATAGAACTGTGAGCAAGACAGACAATGTCTCAGCTTTATTGAATTCACATTCTCCTGGGAAGACAAGATGGTAAATGGGCAAACACACTGTGAAAACATACCTGTCCTTTTAAAGATGGAGGCCAACAATTCTCCCCTTGAATGTGGGCCAGACTTAGTCACTCACTTCCCTTGCAACCATGTGTAAACCAAGGGAAAAAATGTATTTTGTCTGGAGCTTTATCAAATACTGTTCACCATTATAATACCATATCACCAACTTTTATACCTACTATGGTGTTCGAGTTGCCAAAACAGCATCCCTGGTCAGTCCACATGTGAGCCACTTTGCAGACTAGATTATAAAAATGATGTCTGATTCCTATAGTCCCCACCCCCACCATCTCTCTTGTTATCTCTTGGATCACTCACTCTATGCCACATAAAAGCATGCTCCAGCAGCTCTATGGAACTGAGGCCTCCTGCCAACAGCCGTGTGAGTGAATTTTTTGGAAGTGGATCCCTCTGCCCCAGTTGAGCCTTCAGCTGACTGCAGCCCCAGCTGACAGCTGATGCAATCTCACGAGAGATCTTGATCCAGGACCACTCATTCTGGTGCCAGATTTCTGACTCATGGAAACTGAGATAATAAATGTTTGATTTCTAAGCCACTAATTATTCAGATGACTTACTATGCAGCAACAGATAACTAATACACAGATAAATAAACACTGCCACTTCAAATTAAGTTTAGCACAATTAAGAAATAAATCAAGATATGTGGAAGTGAGTGGTGGGGGCAGGGGCAACAAGACTGGGGACCTGGTGACCATGAAGATGACACTAAGATCAGAGTAGTAAGAAGGGCCAGTCAACAGTGATTTCCAAACCCAGTAGGTGCCACACGCCCCCTTTTATACCACGAGGCCTCTGTTTACTAACTTTGACATGAAACTCACACATAATAAAATCTTCGCACCCACATAGTTTGAATAAAACTGCAAAGATGAAACAAAAGGGACGCAACGTATAATTTGCAAATTTTATTTCAATAGTTACACGTGTATGCTCAGGTACAATTACACTCGAAGACGCAAGGAAGCAGTCAGATGCTGGAACCTAAAAAGTAGAATCCCCTGGATTTTTCTACAGCTATGAATGCAGAATGACTGGGGGTGCCCTGTGGCAAATCAGATATCATGGCTGGTGTATAGGATGGCAACAAAGTTTTGAAACTGTGAATGATATTTGGCAATTTTCCGGACAAAATACATTTTTTCCCCTTGAATTACAAAGTTAGGCCCATTTCTGGAAAATGTGGTGATATTAAAACTGCGGGAAAAATAGTTTTGTTTATATGTAAAGTAGATTTAGGGTCTAGGCTCAGATCATTATCAACAGGTTTTTCACCTCCAGGAACGTCCAGCCATGTGGCACATACAAAATTCTTTGTTATATGGGATTGTCCAGCCCTTTGCAGGATGGTTAGCGTTTCTGCTCCTATTATGACAATAAAATACCCCCTACACACAAAATTTCAAAATGCCCTTGGGGGTGCTATTTCCTTCATTGAGAAGTACTGATTGAGTGGGACAGAAGTACATAGTCAAGCCCTTTATGTGAATAAAAAGGAATCCAGAGTGGCCAGAGTTCTGAGAGGGAGGGAAGGAGAGTAGTGAGGTCAGAGAAATTGGCAGAGCCCCTGATACTACCTTATTGGCCACAGCGTAACACTAAGACTGAATTCCAAGGGCCGAGGTGGGGGATGGGGTGACAGGACACTGTTAGGTTTTCACCAGAGGAAAACACGGTCTGGCCTTGCTGTTGAGGGGTTATTACTTATTACTCAGCAGACTGCACTATACTTTTCTGAGAATTTCACACATTCATTCAATCACCCACTCCTTCATTCATTGAACACAGAAGGATTGAACGGTGTCTCAGTGATCTATTGCTGTGAAACAAGCTGCCCCAAAACATAGTAGCTCAGAATAGCAATTTATTGTTTTCCACCATTTTGTGGGTTGGCCGGGCAGTTCTGCAGGTTGGGCCAGAGTCATTTGTGCTGCTATAATTCAGCTGAAGGGTTGGCTGGGGCTGGGACTTGGGCTGGGGCTCAGCTGGCAGATACAGGATGACTGGCGTTCTCTCCATGTGCCCTTTTTTCTGGGGCTGCTTATGAGTATCATGCAGCATTCCAGGAGTATAAAGGAAAGAATGGCCAGGTCTCTTAATTCTTAGGCTCTGCAAGTTGGGCAGCCTCATTTTTGCCATGTTCTTTTTCGTTAAGACCAGTTACAGAGCTAGTCCAGGTCCACAGGGTGGAGAAATACCTTTTGCTGGGAAAAGCATCAAAGCTGCATCACCAGCAGCAGAACTCACAGAATTTATGGCCATGAAACATTCTTCCTGGCTCTGGGCCAGGCCCTGGGGATACAGCCTGCCCCTCTGTGGCCTCTTCAAAAGGTCAGAAAATGCTGCCAGAAACATCAACTGGGGAAAGAAGGGAAGGCCTCTCCTGAAGAGCTGTTTGAGCCCAGATGATCTGAGCATCTGGGCATGACTCCCTGAGGTTTCCAAGAAAACAACTGTCCTTGCACAAGCCCCAGCAACACCACAGCTGCCCTGGGGGACGCAGGAGTAGTCTAGGGGATATCGATAATGGCTGTTGTGATAATCGTCATTTCTGTGGGGATAGAGTGGAACTTGCCCTGGATCCAGACATCTATCTTCTTACACTTATTTGCAGGATGTGTGACACTGGTCATTTCAGGGTCTTCTTTGGTCAAATGCCCTATATCCTGGTCACTCCATTATGAGGATCCACAAATTTGTTAATAACCAGATAATCTCCAGAGGCACAGATGTGGCACTCAATAAACAGAAGTCCACTGAACTGGAGGGCCAGGAGATGGTGCCCCTGAAGTGACAGAAGGGTTATGTGGATGAGTGTGCCTTGCCAACGGGCTTGCAGAAATCCTGCTGGGGAAAAGTGTCCACGAACGCACCTGCTCCCCCTCTCTGCCTTCTTTCATCTTCCCTCTCCCTCTACTCCCTACCACGTCCATTTCCTCTTCTTTCTCTACCTCCAAGCACATGCCACACTTCCTCACCTCCTCCCCTTCACCTCCTTCCTACGCCATTTCTTTTTCTATCCATCCTCTCTCCCTCTCTTTTCTCTTCCGCTCCTCCTCTTCTGTTTCCTCTTCTCTGCTCTTTTGACCGCCCTCCTCCTACCTCCTCTCTAGCCTTCTGCGACTCTTCACCTCCTCTCCCCACCTCCACCTCTGCTTCCTTCTCACTTTCCCTCTTCCCGTCAAGCCTCACCCGCGCTACCCGCTACCTTTTATACTCCCCTGGCTTCCTCTTCATCCTCCTTGCCTCCACTTCCCAGGAACCACTACCTTCTCTTCCACCTCCCTCCTCCCTCGCTCTTCCCCACACCTGCACGTCCACTTGGCCCCGCCCCGCGCCCGGCCTAGGCCCCGCCCCGCCAAGGTCACGGGGTCGACGTACGCGCGACGCCCACAGCGCCCCCAAGTCACGTGGTCACGTGACGCGCTCCAACATGGCGGCGCCGCGGGGCCGCGGCGTCGCTTCCTGACAGGGCGGCGCGGACCGACGCGGCCGGTGCTGGCCGGGACGCCGGGCCCGCAGTCTCGTTCGCCAGCTCGCTCGCGCCGCCCGCCCGCGGGGCTGCCAGCCCTCACCGGGCCGGGGCCATGCAGGAGAGCCAGACCAAGAGCATGTTCGTGTCCCGGGCCCTGGAGAAGATCTTAGCCGACAAGGAGGTGAAACGGCCCCAGCACTCCCAGCTGCGCAGGGCCTGCCAGGTGGCGCTCGGTGGGTGAGCCGCCCCCTCCCGGCCCGCGCTGGCTTCTCCACGCCGGCCGTTACCCTACCCGGCCTCGGTCCGGCCTCCTGGCCTCCGTTTCCCCCCTGAACCCGAATCCCATTCTCTTGGCCACCTCCTCATTATATCCTTGGGGGAACTGATGCCGGGACAACTCGGGGCTGGCCCAAGGTCACCTAGCAAGTTGGTGACAGTCAGGGCTGGTTCTCCACCCTTTCAGCTCAAGGCTGACTTGAGGCCACGACTCCTTGTCCTGTTTCCTGGTTCCTCCCCTCACCACCTCCAAGTACTCTGGAACAGTAGCCCTTGCCCTAAGTTTTTTCTTTACTTCTGCTGTTTGGGGTTCCCTCAGGTGAGCACAGCAGGTGGAAAGAGGAGCCCAGCTGATTTCGGGAAACTTCTTAGACTTGCTTTGGAAACGTCTGAGTGGAGAATGTTTTACTTTCATTTGGGAATCTCCCATAGCTCTTTCAAAGAAGGAATGCTGAGAGTGTTCTATATCTCTCAGGCTTTGTCATGTGGAAGACGTCTGCCTTATTCTGGGTACTTCACTAAAATGTGTACTAACATATAGAGTTTATAGAGCAAAGATATTTGTCTCATTTATTCACTGCTCTATCCCTTGCACCTGTAACAGTGCCTGGCACATAGTAGGTGCTCAATAAATATTTGCTGATTGAATGGACCCTCAGATTGTGGAATGAGAGAAGTTGAGCTCAGAGCTAGTTAAAAAGGCTTTGTAGTTGATGCCAAAAATCAGTATTCTATTTTTTAGTTTTAATCTTTCAGATATTTATCAAATGTCCACTGTGTACCAGTTTCTGAGGATATAGTGGAGAACAAGACAAACAAGGACCTTGCTCCTATGGAGCTTGTACTTTAATAGAAGAGACAAAATGAGAAGTGAGTTATTTTTGAATATTAAAGGTGTGATGAGAGGGCCTGGGGTCTGCTAAATTAATCCTTTCTCAGGAGGTGACATTTGAACCCCATATGGAAAGGCAAGAAGTATCCACCATGTGGAGTTTCAGAAGAGAGTAGTGGGTGAGTAGGATCAGTACAGAACTGTCTTGAAGTTAATTCACTGCCCCACTGTCTGGTTTGGAATCTAGAAGAAGACCCATTTTACTCTAACATTGAAAGAGTGGAAAGTTTAACTTTATGTCACAGAATTTGAGATTGCCATCACCTTTCTCCTTTCATTTGGTGCAAGGTGTAGAGCAGTAGTCTTCTATTGGGACATAGAAATTGACTTTTGAACTTTACACCTCAGAAAGAAGGTCCATGGTTTTTGTCAGATTCTCAGAAGGGTCTGAGACTTCCTTAGGGGTCAACTAGTTAATCTGGAAACGTTTGCTCCTCATCTGATGAAATTCAGGATCAATGGAAGGAATTTCCCGAGATTTAGATTTTTAAAGCTTTTCATTCCAGTAACTCAGTCTAACTTAGGTATTATCAGGAATGTGGAATAATCACCACAAAGCAGTTTGTTAGTTAGGCAAGAGCCTGGTATTTATAACTCTGCGTTGAAATTTGCCTGGACTCTGTCCTCTCAATATCACTTTAAGAATATTGTTGTGGAAGTTTCAAAATAGTTATTTGGCAAAAAAGTTTTCATTTTCTCTTCAGAAAACTTCTTAACATAAAAGTTTAACCAAACTGTGTATCACATTGTTAGGACCTATTTACAAAATTTTCATCTGGGCCAGACATGGTGGCTCATGCCTGTAATCTTAGCACTTTGGGAGGCTGAGGCAGGAGAATTGCTTGAGATCAGGAGTTCCAAGACCAGCCTGAGCAAAACAGAAAGACTCCCACCCCCCATATGTCTGCAAAAAATAAAAAATTAGCTAGTGTGGGGTACACCTATAGTCCCAGCTACTTGGGATGCTGAGACAGGAGGATCACTTGAGCCCAGGAGTTTGAGGTTACAGGGAGCTAGGATCATGCCACTGCCCTCAGGTCTGGGTAAAACATCAAGATCCTTTCTCAAAAAAAAAAAAAAAAAAAAAAGGCCACACAACATTGAGAGCTTATTAAATGTCATGTCTTTGTTCAGAAGTTCTGATTTGTGTAACTCGCCTTGTGGAATGCATGTTTTAAGTGTTTTAGTAGTGAATTGTTAAAAAATTGCCTAGATAAGAAGTAATTTGACTATAGGATATGTGAATAGCAAATGGAGGAGATAGCTTATTGATTATGAACTGTCACTGTAGTAACATAATAGGAACCATCATAAAGGAATCTGTACGTGGTGTTAAGTAGCCCTCTTTTAAATAGAGTAATTGTGTGTTACTGCTGTTAAGTAGAAGTGACTGTATTTAGAAATGGTAGAAAACATAGCAAACTGTCTGGTGATATTTCACTCTGCATCTCAGAGCCCAGTCTGTGTCCAGTAGTCCCACCAAAGAAGAGAAATTTAGAAAAAATAGCTGAAATGAGCCAGTGTATAAGTAGTGCTATGTGGTTAATGTTTTAGCAGTTATCACATGTAGATTATCATTAATTGTGATAAGAGGAACTGTAACCAACTGCTCACAGTTGAAATGCTTGGGTGATAGAGGAGAATTATAGGAAACAGCTTCTGTGGTATGTTTCTACCACTTGTAGCCTATTGGGGGAGGGAATCAGGGCTGTAGGGTCTGTATAAGGTAGAATAAGTTAAGAGCTAGGAGCATGTCCTCTGTGACTCAAGACATCCTGGGTTCAAATCCCCTGGCTCCCACTAAATTTTCCCCTTCCTGAATTACCCTTCCAATCTTGGATGGGTTACTTAATCTTACACCTTCCTAATAGGGTTATTATAAATGTTAAGTTAGTTGATATGCACAAAGAACTTGGCGAATAGTAGGTACTCAGTAAATGCTTGCAGGTACTATTGTTTATTTTTATTATTATAAGCTATGACAGACCACAGTTGGTTGCTCAATAATGACTTATTGCTTTATTTGGTTTGTAGATGCAGTAAATAAGAATGTAATTACATGACTGAAAGGTTATGTTTATTGGTGTGTTAACGTGCTAATCTCAGTGCAGAGAGGGGTTGTCCCGTAAAACAGTGGTAATCATGATGGGGACAGGTTTGGAGTAATCTCAATCATCCATCTGCACTAAATACCAAATACATACATAGGGACTGTTTAGTTAGGGGATCTTGTCTTTCCAGTTGTTGTTTAGAGAAATCAGAAGAGTCTTTAAGAGTATTCGTCACCCAAGGGCATTGTTGCTCTTTACCTTAATAATTTAGTAATATTTAACCTTTTAGCCCTCTTTTGAAGAGTATAATTATATTCTTAGAACTACACTTTTGTAGTTGTCTTATTTAAGACTCATCTCCCATGATGTCTCTTTAAATTATATTTGTGAATTATATTTCTGGCCAGCTGTGGTGGCTGATGCCTGTAATCCAGCACTTCAGGAGGCTGAGGCAGGATGTTAGCTTGAGGCCAGGAATTCGAGACCAGCCTGGACAACACAGTGATACCCTGTCTTTACAAAAAGTCAAATAAATTGCTGGATGTTGTGGCATATGCCTGTAATCTCAGCTACTTGGGAGGCTGAGGCAGGAGGATTGCCTCAGTGAGATATTGTACTCTGGCCTGGGTGATAAAATGAGACCCTGTCTCTTAAAAAAATTATACTTCTACTCTTAAACTATATGAAATTTGAAGGCTGAGCAAGATAATCCAAGTGCTTTAAAATTGGGTCTGGTGGCTGGGTGTGGAGGCTCACACCTGCAATTCTAGCCCTTGTGGGGGCTGAGGCAGGAGGCTGAGGTGAGAGGATAGTTGAAGCCAGGAGTTCCAGACCAGCCTGAACAATGTATTGAGACCCCATCTGTATAAGGAATTTTTAGGCTTGGCGCCTGTAGCTCAAGTGGCTAAGGTGCCAGCCACATACACCTTGGCCGGTTCACATCCAGCTCGGCCCAGCAAACAACAATGACGGCTGCAGCCAAAAAATAGCTGGGCATCGTGGCGGACGCCTGTGGCCCCAGTTACTTGGAAGGCTGAGGCAGGAGACTCACTTGAGCCCAGGAATTGGAGGTTGCTGTGAGCTGTGATGCTATGGCACTCTACCCAGGGGGACAGCTTGAGGCTCTGTCTCAAAAAAAAAAATTTTTTTTTTTAAAGATTAGCCAGACCTATAGTACTAGCTTCTTGGGAGACTGAGGTGGGAGGATCACTTGAGCCCAGGATTTCCAGGTTACAGTGATTTACCACCATGCCACTGTAGTCTGTTCCAGATGGCAAGCAAAACCTTGTTGCAAAAAAAATAAGTGAAATAAAATTGAGTACAGAAAAATTTGTCTGTAATTTAACTGTATAGTTCTAACAATCCTCTTTTCATATGTTATACATATATCAAGAGATGCAGAGTCTTAAAATTTTTTTCTCTGTTTTTGTTGTTGTTGCAGTTTAGCTGGGGCCTGGTTGGAACCTGCCATCCTTGGTATATGGGGCTGATGCCCCACCCGCTGAGCCACAGGCACTGCCCAATTTTTTTTTCTCTTTTTGAGACAAAGTCTCACTCTTGTCATCCAGGCCAGAGTGCTGTGACATTGTAGCTCACAGCAACCTCAGACTCCTGGGTTCAAGTGATCCTCCTGACTCAGCCTCCCAAGTAGTTGGGACTGCAGGCCCCTATCACTAGCTAATTTTTTTCTATTTTTAGTAGAGATGGGATCTCACTCTTGCTCAGATCCATCTCCGTCTCCTGAGCTCCAGTGATCCTCCCACCTCAGCCTCCCAGAATGCTAGGATTGAGCTACTGCGCCTGGCCATTTCTCAATAATGTAAAGAACTAAGTAATGGCTAAGTGTTTTATGATTGCTAGGTGTCATAATTCCTCAGTCATTATCAAGAAAATATAAAAAGAATCGTAAGCTTTTTTTTTTTAATATGAAATTGGATTATTTTTAAATAACATGTTGTATTATAGCTATGTGGTATCTTCCCCATACCAAGCATTTCTAAGTTCCAGGCACAGT